GATATTTTTTGCACCAAATTTATAAAGTAATTCACGTGGACATAAATGCATCTTCTTCTTTGATCTCTGGATCCAAAGCACTTTAGGCAATAAAAGACGTTTTGACAGCCAGAGATGCCTAGATTGCCTCTACAATTTAAGTCCAAAAGTCTTTTGGCTGATCGTCATCGAACATGGATGAACAAAACGTGGTCTGACTGCTTAGCGGCTTAGCGTGATTGTTTAATGGGACATATGGCAGGAATTCAAGAGTAAGACAATGCTGTGTTTGGGATATTTTCAATGTATCGATGCACTAAGTTGAAGGCCAGATGGTCTCTTCCTGCTTCAGCTGTGCCTTTGAATTGTTGAATGATACAGCAGCATGTCTGGATTAGTCAGTTGAATTAAAAAAGGTCATACAGCTTAGTCAGTGTAACTATGACTTTAGGAGGAATATTTGATGAACTGTCCCCATGTTGGCACGTTGCTGACATTAGAAAAAAAAATCCCTATAGCACTTTGTCTTCTCAGCACATTCGCAATAGTTAGTAATGAGTTTGTAATGTCAAAGTTTATTCTGCGTCACACACAGTTAAAATGAAAATATACTTTCATAGAGAAATTTACTTTGTTGTGCTGGAAAACAGTTTGTATATTTATGTTTTTATTTAGTAAAATGTTTTTCTCTATGCATCTCTATGTATTGATAGGAACCCTGCTAGTAACTCTCCATCAATGCAGGATTACAGGTTATTGCTAACACCCATAATTGTACCTTTGAAACATTACATATTCAGGAAGTCTGTAATTTCATTCTCATTCAGGAGAAACACGTTCTGGTTGAAATTCTATTCAGACTAACTGTTATACATATACAGTGCAGGTGGTTGCTCACCTTGATCACTGGTCAAGTTCACCTGTGAGCAAGCAGAGAGCAAATCCTTGTTTCTACACAGATGGGACTAGACAGATGGAGATTTTAACAGGGCAGCCGATGTCCTTGGGCACTGGAGAATTTAAGTCTTGTGGATGGAAAGTAGGTAAATGCCCAACATTGTACATTAGGTAAGTGACTATTCCTATTACTTCTAGCTCTGGTTTCAACCCACAAGTGTTTTGTAAGAGCTAGCTTTGAAATATTACAAGATAATAAAGAGTATATGCATTATTTAGATGAGAAATACAGTAATAAATAAGCAATAAATAAGCAATTCGGCACTGGTTTACTTTAACATCTCTGGGTTATAGCTTTCTACATCTCGCCCGGCTTGTCTGATTGGTGCAGACAGGTCTAAACATTGGGCCACTTTTCACACAGCACAGTTGATTCTAAACTTCACCAAGTTGGGATTTGCAATCAACTGGGGGAAGAGTGCCCCCAATCAGGTGGATTCAACCAAGCTTTGGGTGTTCCTTCTCAGAACCCAGACAGACAGCCCTGCTGCAGGCAGTTCACAAGCTATGACGGGGAGCATGGGTGATAGCGCTGACTGTTATGCGGGTGGGTGGGGCTCATGGCAGCAGCTCATCCAATGGTTCCACTGGGGCCACCTCACATTCATCGTCTACAGAGGTGGTTCAACAGCCTGAGCTTAGATACCAAGAAGCACAAGAGCAGGCCGGTACAGACAGTTCCCTCATCAGTGCAGGAATACCTGCGCTATTGGGGGTTCCCACATCATCTGTCATCAGGAACCCCACTGGGTTCAGTGTCAGACCTGTGGTTCAAGGGAAGCATGTGTTGGTGAGGACTGACAACTGCACCACAGTGGCCTACATCCACAGGCAGGGTGGAGTCCTCTCCACATCTCTGTTGGCGGAGAACCTGTGGTTATGGGCCTCAGAGTACCTGTTGTCTTTGAACACTCTACATGTCCTGGGTCTGGAGAACCGGGGCGTTGACCTCATGACAGATGAGTAGAGGCTACACCCAGAGGTGTTGCAGCAGATTGGACTCAGTTTGGAAAAGCGGAGGTGGACCTGTTTGCCAATTGACAGAACATTCACTGCTGTGGTTCTCCCTGACACCATCCAACCTTGGGGGTGGACACGTTTGCACATGCCATATTTTTTCTGGTGTGTAATAAGCAATATAACCTCGTTATATTTTAGTAGACATTTAGTATTCTTTCCATTTTACTAGCAGGCCATGGGGAAGCCAAATCAAATCCTTCTGCTATTACTGGAGCACTAAAATGAAACATAAATGACAAAAAACAGTGACTGCACTGTATTGGCGGTTAAATGTTTTCTTTTTCATTGCAAAGCTCCAATTGATATGAGAGCACTTAATCTTTATAAATCAATAAACCAAATCAACAAAACATTGCAGTAGAAATGATTTTTTACATGTAATTTACTGACATTGTTATTAGTATTATTACTGACTGTGTATTGATTTTCTACAGATATCCTCAATAGTACCTCCGCTTACAATGCTAGCCATCTACAAGGCACTCACCATCCCACTATTGTTTGTGTGGACGCAGAGTCACAATAAAGCAGCATTGATTTTTTTTTTTACCAGCTTGATTTTAAAGGACAAAGGAAGGGGAGTCCATTGCCCTGAAGAATCTGCCTTAATGAAAATGCAGAGAGATGCCTTGTCTGCTGGCAGGTGTCACTCACAGGGACCTATTGTGTTTGTATTTCCAGGGACACGCTGTTTTATGGAAAAGTCAAACTTTGTTGTAATTAGTTTGTGATAGAAGGTGGGCTAACAAGCTAAGGGACACATTTTGTTTATGCACTCCTCTGGCTAATTTCTCAGCTGGAGTGTTGTTTACTTAGTGCATACAATTACAGAACACATTAGTGTGCCCATTGGCCAATGTCATTAGGGACACACTTTATATAACATTTAAGGTTTATAACATGTTCATTGATGCTATTTCTCATATTGAGCTGGTAGAGCACACTCCCATCATGCCACAAGACTACAAAGAAGTGGACAATGAATCACGGCAGTTAATTGCTGCTCTCTATTACCCAATGTGTCAAACCAAAAAATGGATCCCGCAGGTGTAGTTATTGTAATTAGTCTGCTCAAAGCAAAGGAGGAAAAAGCCAGCACCCTTGCCAGTGGGGGGTAAGAGTGAGTGAGAGGAGAAGAGAGAGGAACTGGAGCTTCGAAATGTGAAAAAAGGGATAAGCTCAGACAAAGAAAAACTGACACCATTTAAAAAAGTCCTCCCTCAACAACAACCCAAGGACAACCACGTCAGTGAGACTGACCCAGAGGTGTTGCGGTTCATCGAATGTATTCTCATCCCTCTGTCAACACAGTACTACCAATACCAGAAGCAAGACTCTTGGTAGCTGTGGCTACACTATAGGAGCACTGTGCAAGGGGGCGGGGGACCACTCTGTGACCTTTGAAGTACAAGAAGGTGGTCTTGATTAGCCACATATCTGAAGGAGGCAGGCTTGTCTTACAGTCCCAGTGGACGAGCACTTTAATTACAGCTAAGGAAAGCTTCCTTAGCTTCCTTATTTACATGGAAAATATGTACCTTAAGCTTTGGGGAAACATTTTGGGCAATAAGCTTATTTGCTTTCTTGCAAAGAGTTAGATTAAAAGATCAACACCACCATCATAAATCTGTCCAGGATTTAGTACGCTACAGCCAGTAGCTGGTTAGCTTAGTTTAGCACAAATACTGGAAGCAGGGGGAAGTAGCTAGCCTGGCTACGTCTGAAGGTAACAAAATCCACCAACTAGCAACTTTGAAGATCATCCTAACACACACTATTGTTTGGTTAATCTGTTGAAAAAAACAAATAGTAAACAACACATTGCAGTTTTACAGTGGGTTGTGTACCAGAAAATTTCTCAGTTGAGAGCAGCTAATCTAAGCTAACTGGCTGCATCGGTTGCTTTATCTTTATTTTACTTAAAGGTTTACTTCCCCAAATTCCTTTCAGTAATTCAATAGAATAATTTAATAATAATTATTTAAAGTGGAATATGCTGCAGATTTACGGAGCCATCTTTTAATTTATGTCAGACAACAGTCTTTTAATTTGATGCACTGAAACATCATCAGTAAACAGAAGGTTTCATTGAGAGCTGGGTGTGCATGTCTTCATGCCAGGAAGAAACCACATTTAGTGGGCATGCTGTTTCCTCTGGAGCCCACTGTATTTCCCAGCCGTGTGCATACTTTCAAACAGATGATAGATTTAAGAGGGTCACCTTGGCTTGGATGCTGTCACTTTTCTGCCAGCCTGCTTGTCTCTCTTTTTTACTGAAGCAGCAGTCCTTAGAGTATGAGTAATTATTTGAGAGTGTGTGTGTGTAGCATTTATTATCACACATACTCATACAACCTCTTTCAAAGCCTCACACGAGCTACCACTTCAAACTGCTACACCGCAGTAGACAATTACTTCAGTCCAGTGAAGAATTTATCTCTGGGTTTGCCTTCACAAGAGAATCATTTGTAAATTCAATTGACTGAAGAAAAAGGTTAACAGGGCTGCAGGAAGCAGGGAACATAAATAGTTGCGAAGGAAGTTGGCAGAAATGGATTCTCATTTGAGAAAGGGTTAAATAAACGACTTAATACGTGTCTCTCCAGAGCTAATCTGTATCAGTACATGATAGCAGGGAGTCATTGTCAGAACAGAAGAAAAGATCATTTGATTGATTTATTGCTGAATTGTATCTAAAATGATACTGCGACTATTGCATAATGTCCCACTTATCAAAAGAGGATAAATCTGTTTTTGGACATATTTGTGGAAGCAGTGCACTTCTGTTCAATTTCCATAATGTTGATGTAGCACTGGATATGTACTGCGGAGATGTGGAACTGTAGCGAACATTTATTTATTGCTATTTATTGTACAGCCAGTCAGTCAGAACAAAAAAATCTGAAAAATAAAAAAACTAGTTTTAGTTTAATTTTTTCAAGTCAAAACAAACACCAGGATATATATATATTAAATTCTTTGAAAAAAGAAAATGTTGGTGGTATGTCGCTCTGATAATGCAAGAATTACCTTGTCTCAGTAGATACTTCTGAATTCTTTTAATTCAAATGAAACCTTTGTAATCCTTTACAATTTGCACAAAGTTAACAGTCTCATTTAATTGAAATGTTGTAGTTCCATTTATACAATACATTCAGAACTGAGGAGCAGAAAAAGCCATGCCACACTGAAGCAGAGGCCTGTAGGGAGGAGGCATCACCTGCTGCCAGAACGGAAGACTTCCAGTGTGTTGAAGCATGTTCTGTGCAGTCCACTCATTCAGCATTTCAGCAGCATTTGTCTAAAAATACATGACATTTTCTAGGGAGTAAAGCAAATTCACAAACAAAAACAGAGCCTGTGTCTTTCCACTGGGATGGGGTAATCCCTGGACATCTGTTTGTGAAGCGTCCTGAGAGATGGGCCTGTGGAGAAGAAAGTGTGGCCGTTTATTTTGGTCAGTGCTTTGCTTTAGACAATGACGAGCAGTGTCCTGCGCAGAACAGTAAGAGCTGGTTGAGCCAATGGCAGTGAAAGCAATTACAGAGAACAATGAGACCCTGTGGGCATGGCAACTCTCATGATACTGTTTCATAAAGCTGAAGTCTTGCCTTTTAGATGTATGAATCCAGGAAAGGGACTGTTTCAGAGACATGTAAGGACAAGTGTGTGTGACTTTGTCTCTGTCTTTATCACACAAAAGAAAAATACAGACACAGAGGAAGAGGCTGAGAAAAGACAGAGAGGTGAGAGCGTTGTGCTTTATGTACCTGCTGCAGTGTTCTCTCACACGTTGTGACGCTTGGCTATGTGGTTATGTGACAGAAAGCTTAACTTAAAATCCAGGCCGGAGGGCAGGAAATCTTCTGTTTACACTTAAGCTATATGGTTCCGTTTCATGTAAACTCTGATGTTTAGTTCTGATTATATGTTACATTGTATCACCGTTTAGTCTGAGTGAGCTTGGTGAGTTTTCTTCAATTGCAGGAAAGAATTATAAACAAGACAAAGCCTGGCTTGATGGGGTTTGAGGGTAATGGGATTAAATGCAATTAGAAAACTTGCTAATAATAATACACTGCAGTTATTATGTGAACAAATAATGATGTGACAGATGTTTTTAAATTAATTGGTGGGATATGTTTGTTGGGAAAGTGTGATAATGTGTGTATTAACATTTATATTACATTTTGTATTAAAAATAATAACAGCTGAAGAATCAGTTTTATTAGTCAGATTGCAAGTTAACACCATTCATTCAGTCAATTTGACCTTTTCAGTAGATGACATTAGTAATTATATTTTTCATCAGATAATCAGTAAACTGTATCAAATCTTGCAAATCATATTTTTATGTTAATCTTTGCAACCTTGACATTAACCCTGTCTGCATTCTTCAACAGTCTGTTAACAGGGATTTGCCGTTCCCTCATAACTCCAGTCATTTTGTTGTTTACTTTACGTTGCCAGCCAAGTTACACATTTACAATGGAGCCTTGCCAACTGTTTGAGGCTATGTTGTTGTATACACAACACTCATCTCACATTAATGAAGAAGAGCTGTAAGAAAAACTTGAATAAATTAAGGTGAAAGGTAACATGTTTTTTCCCCCTCTGACTTGTGCGTGAATATTACCGCTCAGTGCAAAAACATTCCAGTTTTTCTGTCAGGCCCAATGAAGACCAACTTGTGTGTCATTTAATGAAGTCAAATAATAATTAGATGTATTAGGACACATGCATCAGAAATGATTACTGGCAATTTGGGAAGCATGACAGTTAATTTAAACCATGATGTATATTGTTTTGTACATGTTTTTTATAATCTGAGTCAGTGGCTGCCTTTCTTGCTCTTATTGCTTCCCAAAGGTTGCCTGGACAAGAGTGAATAAAATGCATCTTAGCATAGCACTTAACATACAGTAGTTTGTACAAAAATTAAATAGACTAAATTAAAGGGATAAATTTGTAACCATTTGAGTTCATTAGATAGATTAGATTCTATTATTACCTTTCAGTGAAACTTACAGTCATCTGAAATGTGATTTCAACCAGACACAAACAAATATACACACTGCTATCCTGTTACAACATAATATCATTTGCATCTACTGTGTATGCATGTGTGTATGGTGGGGTGATCATGCATAATTCAACTCATGTCCAAGATAGGGGGCTTAAGGTGAGAAAGAAAGTTTGCACCAAGTCGTGAGGCAGCAGATGAGATTGCTGATGCTGGCAGGATATCACGGGGCCTGTTGGGTGAGTGAACTCCGGCATAGATAAATGTAAATGTTGGCTATGTGCCCACAGAAGAAGCTAGCATCACACAGCTGGACCAGCTTTGACTACCTGCCCAGTTACAGAGAGTATTCTTCTTTTTTTTTATGAAACATGTCATCAGTGTGGGTCGTGCTGACTTGGCTTTGGAAATTTGCTTAGTTCCAACACAAAAACCACCAAAGTATTTAACATTTCCTTCTTCCTTATTTGTTCTTTCTACCTTGCTTTCTTTTAGGCAATTATGTTTACATCCACTTAGTTTTCAGTGAGGGCAGTAATCGAGTTGGTCACCTTAAGGTGCCAAATAAGCAAAACCCCAAGCAGGGCAGCATAGGAGGATTCAAGTGAATATAATAATTGGAGTTGAAACTCACATTGGCTGGTGGACACATAGATCGCACACTGTTACGCTACAGGCCTCTCTCTGAAAGGATTCCTGCCCCTTTACATTAGTGAGAGGAATCAGCAGGGATAAATAGAAGATCAGTGTTTTCCCCCTACAGACAGTCTCCACTTAACTCAGTCAAAAGCCAGCCACAGACCACAAGCCCACTACTGCCGATTTGCACTGCTCATGTAGGGTGAATGGGGACTCTTGTGTTTTAGCACCCACACAAGTGAGAAAATGACAGCATTACTCATAGGTTAAACATACATGTAAACATCCATAGACTACCACTAGTACGTAATAGGCCTTTCCATGATTTTCACATGACTGACCCTCAGGGTAATTCCTGACAGAAGATAAATATAACTATCTGATTTCCTACAAAAATGGTCTGATGTGCCCCAATACAAACTGACAGCAAAGAAGAAGGGACTTACCTTAGCTCAGTATTGTGACCTTCCAGATTGTTTCCGACTGATTACTTCTCACAAACCTCCCTGTTATTCACTCTTTGTCAGTCTCATGGGTATCCAAGTGCATGGACAAGGATCTGCTAAGAGCCTTTTGCAGGCAAAGTCCTTCCTTCATTGGATCCCTGCTTCTCTTCATCCATCCCACAGCAAGCCTCTGAGGAATGACTGAAGGGGTGTTGGAGTTAAGGTGTCCAGGATTTTCAGGATCTTGTCAGGACTGGGGATTGGGGGACGTAGAGTCTGCACTTGTCAACAGAGGTGCCAGCCATCATCAGCTTGCAGGAAATACAATATGATAGGTGCATGGCCAAATATTGGGTGGTTTTCCCATAGTGGGTGCTGTTTGGGGAGAATGTCCAGACGGTTACTAATGACCCTTGTCTGCCACCAGCTCTGCCTAGGGGAACTGAAGAATGGTGTGGTCAGATGGTCCATCAGGAGGAAGTTGAGGAAAGAATGGAAGTGAAAAAGAAGTGAGGAGTTGCCCTCCCCTGCAGCAATGAGACTCCTGCATTTTCACACAGTGAAGAAAAAAAATCTGGTAACTGACAGCCTGTCTTTCTTTGATTGTCTGACCATGAATTATTAATGGAGACACTAGTTCCCTTGAGCACAGGAATACTCTGCTATTTTAGTGGTAGTAGTGACAGGAATCTGTAGAATTTCACAACACGAGAGATATTTTTAGCATGAACGGACAATATACTTGGTTTTGATCCTGCCTGACTTACTGTGTTCTTTGGGTGTGTGTGTTTGTGTGTATTTGTGTGTCCAGCCCATCAGACATGCACTTACAGGACCAGCGATTTCGATTAGGCCTGCGGATCAGTTCTCTCTGTTTTCACTGTTGATTTGCTGGGAATGACCAGCATGCAGTGGTCACTCATTATACCGAAGTCCATCCACTACAGCGTGTCTGGCTGGTGCGAGAACATCGGCTTGTCATTTCTCTTCAACTAGGGAAAGACAAGCAAAGGAGAGGAGGGGAATGAGTGGAGTGTATTGTGAACATTACTGCACATGACCAAATCCCCCCAAACCCGACAATGTGCCTAATGTTTAGCAGAAGCTGTTAAAAACCATCTATATGAGAGAGCTGGAGCTCTGGAGTGAATTAAATGGCAACGATGAGAGGATGTGACAGAGCTATGATAAAGAAATGAAAAAAAGCTATGAGAAAGAAAGAACAATGGAACATCGGGTCTATATCTGATTTAATCAGAAGTGATATGGAAGTAATCCCTATGTTAGGTCTAAGAAACAGAAACGCAGATGGCAGTACAACCAAGTCATCAGTCCTGGTCATCATTTGCAGACCCTGCCCTGCGGGGCAGGCTTAACAATGTAGAGTAATGCTCTGACTCAGCACCCAGGCCTAATGCAAAGGGCAAATGCCATATCATAATAGTAAATTACTCCTTACTCAGTTGATCAGGCTATGAATTAATGATTTACAAGGGGATTATTGGGAGGAACTTTTAAGGAGGATTATGCTATCCTGAGGCACCATTGGATCATGTAAAGGTGAGGGCTGTCTCAAAATAGTCCAATATAACAGCTTTTAATATTATTTGGAAATATATGCCAATAATATATGGATTTTCCTTATGCAATGAAAAATTAGATGTTTGCCGCGTCCTCTTAACTACACACACACACTACTACAAGTATCTCCTCCTCAGAAATTGATTTATCAGATGCTAGACTAAAACTAACAATAACTAAAATGACCAAAATGGGACTGATGCACATTTTCATTAAAAGACTAAGACTGAAACTGAATTAAAATCGGGTACCAAACAAGGAGATACCAATTTTTTTTTATTTGATATGGCACCACACTTTCTGTTACAATTGTAATGATACCAATACTCCATCCATCCTTCCCTCCATCGTCCATCGCTTATCCTGTGTACAGGGTCGCGGAGGGCCGGAGCCAATCCCAACTGACATCGGGCAAAAGGCGGACAGGTCGCCAGTCCATCGCAGGGCCACATATAGACAGTCACACACACATTCACACCTAAGGACAATTTCGGAGACACCAATTAACCTAGCCTGCATGTCTTTGGATGGTGGTCTACAACAAAGAGGGGACTGCAGTGCCACACCACCACTTAGCTTGCTCTTGCTCTACCTTGCAACTTTCACTGAAATTAGTGCAAACATTAGTATTAGCAACTCTGCTGTCTGTTGCAGAGTGCCAGACACCTTGAACATGAAACATAGATCAGTGCATAGTAGCTGTGTCTCTTTGTCATGTTTCTTGTGTATTTGTGTTGTTTTAACGTTAATGTTTGTATAAAGGGTGTAGTATCAATAGAGTTAGGATGAGTTCAGAACTTGTCCAAAATTTCTACTTACTCACATTTTATTTTGTGTCTTTTAGGTGTTTGCTGAGTTGATAGCCATGACAAACCTGGTTGGTGACTTTTTAAGTGCAGTGGACTGCAACACACAGCTCTTTGTCACAATCTTCAAGTCCAGGAAAGGAAGTGCTGGAGGGAAACTGGCTGAGATAGTGTAGCAAAATGATTCAAAGGTCACTTTGCTACAGACTTTGTTACAGTTCTTGCTGTGTATTTGATCTTATAAATCACTTCTCCAATCAGCAACTATTTTTCATTTTTTAATGTTGCATAATTCGGGACTTTATTTGTTCTGTCCACTTTGAGAAACCAGATGTGGCAGCAGTGAGTACCTTGTTCTCCAAGGCCTCCCTGATCTGCTCAGTGATGCCACCAATAACTGCAACACCTCCTTAAGCTATTTGTATTTGATGGTATTTTACTGAGAGCTGGATAAAAAGATTAATACTGAAAATATCCCTGTGAGTTCAGTACAAAGATAGGCTGCATGCTAACTGTGAGAGTTTAGTTTATGCCAGTATGTGATCCTACCGGCTGTAACTGCAGTAAAAGCCAAATTAATTTTACATGAAGAAGACATTACTGCTAAATTTCAATAATGTTTTTTACTGGATGTCTTAAAGCTGGTAAAAAATTGTTGAAGGCCTACTATGTTGATTAAACTGCAACATACAGGTGCTTTTAAAGTGAAAACTTAATGAAAGTGCAGGAGAGCAGTGGACACAGGACAGATGACTTGGTGACAATTAATAATGCCTATCAACTTTTCTCTTTTGTAATGGGATTTTACTGTGGTTATATAAAGGATTCTGACAGTGATGAGGCATGGCCAAAGGTATCTGTTGGGTTGCTGTCAGTCACCATTGAAGATGCTCCTCTCTCCAAATCATCTCCATCCTGACCCAGTGTCTTCTGACACCTTTCTTGAAGGAGGTATTGTAATGGACAATCTCCAGAACCTACCTCAAACACTTTGCCTCTTGTTTGGGCTGTCCTATGCGCTACACCCGGACTACCCTTAAAACAATGGAAAATACATTCAACGAGTGATCCTTGGCCTGGGAGAGGACAAACTCCCCACTAAACTTTAAACTTTTAAATCTCCTCTTGAGTTAGATAGTGTTAATAATCAAGAGTGACATTTGGCATAAGATCTCATTTGTTTATGAAAATGGTTCCAGTTGCTATTGCTATTTGTTATTACAAAAGTAAAGTTGTTGAGTATTATATGTTAAACTAAAAGTCAGAGTTGAATTTTTTCCCCACGACAAATGATATTTGTTGTCTTTCCCTAAAGCAAAGGCTGGCAAAGGTGCTGATTTCACTAAGCTTTCCCAGTAAATATCTCTGTAAATTAAGTACATTCCCTCAAATTAATATTCTTTGATTAAAAGGAAAGAGTCAAATTTTGTAAACTGTGGGAGATGGTGGTAAATATAAGCGTTATCCTTTACATTAGACTTCCGATTAAGAAGAAAGTAAGTATACACCAAAATGTCAAAATACTGAGAAAGAAAAACTACACAATAAAAAATTTGTCAAGTCAAGAACTCAAAATTGGGATAAATTACAGTATAGAATAAAATGACAAATGTCAAGGTAATGCATTCATTTTTACCAGATTCAAAATGTTTAAAAATACACAAATTTTAAAACTTTGATTTCAAATTTGGAAATGAAATGCTATTGGTTGAGGTTTAACGAACAAACCTGTTCCAACTATAATGTGCTTGTGTCTTAAATATTTCTATTTTATGATACTTTATATTCTCCACTACATTTGTGACTTGTGTATAGTGAGTTGGCAGTGCAGAGTTTACATATAGTTGAGCATTGAGGGGTGTTTGGAAATATCTGATTGATTAACAAATTCAATGTTTTAATGAATGTTTTTATTTTAACCGAAAAACCTGTTTACCTTACCTTACCTTGATGTTTAATGAATTACTGGTGTTACTCTGAATGGGACACAGTATAAAGGATGTTTGAAGTACTTAATTTACACAAGTAACACTTACTTGGTGTTTTTAAGGCAATCGGTTTGCATGGTTTTAACAAGTAATTCAGATTGTTCTTCAAAAAACTAAAAATGAGAAATTCTAAGTTGCAGGAAATGTCACCTTAGTAAGCCCAACTTTAATAACTGTGTTTGGATCACACACAAAGTAAAGTTCACATGATATGACAAGTTAGTTGTTTGAAATAGTAATTCTGAGTAGTGTAAACTAAGTCAAGAGTAAATCTAAAGCAAATTGTCAAGCACACTGCACAGTTTTTTTTATTTACTTAAACTTAAGAGTAAGTATACTATACTAAACAGGCATTTATTAATACAACACATATTCCACTGTACTTAATTATTTAATTTTATCGGTTTGCATGCTTTTTTTAAGCAAGGTTAACTAATTGGATTTTACAGTGTACAGATGAAAAGTAGTGACACCACCCTAAGTATCCTTTCTCCATTTCTATCACAAGTTTCATGTGGAAGTGTGTGACTGTGTGCAGCTGCTTGACATTATTTTTCATTTTGTTTTCTCAATGCTTCATCTGTATGTATGTGATTCAGTTTGAAATAAAGGTCAAAAACAAGTAGTGAAAAGTGATACAGCCACCCATGTTTTGCATTCATATAATTTTTCTACTGATATTTTTTTAAAGGAATCAATACCAAATGAGAAGCTTGTGAGTATTGAACTATTGATCCTGCAGTATTGATCAGCCCATCCCTAGTGCCAAAATTAGCACTGCTTGTGATGGCATCAGTCAAAGATAATTTGTATATATGTATATACTTTACATTGCCATTCAAGTAAAGTCAATGTCAGTATGAAATACATACTCCATGATATACCTGCTAAAAGATTTTCTCTTGAGACCTGGAAGAATTTTTTGCATTTTGCATTTTGTTTTACACAATTTAAGTAATAATGATGTAAGAAACATATTACAAAGATGTTTTTCTCAAAAACGTTATTTTAAATTAAAAAAAACAAACATGTAAAACATTCTTGTAGTACAAAGAGAGGGGCAATCTTTTCTACAAGTACATTATAGGGCATGATTTAGTAATGATAAAATAATACATTTTCTTTTCAATTCTTTCTCATTTGATGAATATTGGAAACAAATTTTAAAACCTGCTCTACTGCCTGACTCTCTTC